GGCTGCGAGGGGGCTTGGCATGGGGGGCCGCCTTTCCAGCCCCCTCCTCCAAGCCCGGCTAAAACACAGCCCCCCGCCGCCCGTCTAGGGGTGCAGCTTCTGATCCAGAGGGAAGGAAGCTGCCAGCTTTGCAAAAGGCTCGGGGTCGGCAGCAACAGCAACCCGGATCCTATAGCAAGCATTTAAAACAACAGTCACAGCAAAGGAGGCGAAAGGTGATGAAGACACGTCCGTGCGGTCATGAGAATTTTTCAGGCTCGCAAAGCAGAGGCCCCATGCTTCAGACGGCCTAAAAATGACCGTCCGGCTATGAAAAAGAGGCGACCGGCTATAAAGATAGTGCTTGAAAATGTGCAGTGGCTCTAGGGCTGGTTTCTATCCTGCTTTTGTTTGAATGTCTGGCAAGGTACTTGCAGCACAGCACTCGCCGAAGGCACGAAGCATGACACCAGCCCAGGGAGCAGCAGGCTCAGGACCCGCCAGGACCGGGAGGAGGAGGAAGAGGGAAGAGTCCGAACACCCAGCCTGGGGGCAACGTGAGAGGTGTGAGCCACCGCTCACTGCCCACGGGCCTGAGGGTAAGTTAGCTGGAGTTAAAACCAGTCGTGAAATAGAAGCTACATGACCAGGACCAGCTGGCAGAAATGCAGAAGAAAGACTAGCTTAATTTGTGCATAATTAAGACCATTAGAAAGAGAGGGGAAGAGAGATGGGTGTTAATACCTGTGGCGTGAAGAGCTTCAAAGGAATCAGGTGGGATATAACAAGCCATGAAGGACTGCCGCCTGCCTAGAAATGCTGTGGTCACGGCCAGGCAGCTTTAAACGGAAGGGTTTGCAAACCTATCATCATCATCGGTCATAATTATCATATCATCATCCTATCATCATCACTCATCATTTAACAATAATAATAAAACCCTAGAAGCCACGACAACCAGTAACAGCGAAAGCAGAGGCACCTATCCCAAAACCCCTGCCCCACCTATACCTCCTCACGGTCAGGAATGGAAATAGCTGAAGCCAAACACCTGAGCTCTGTCTCACCAGAGGTTTCTCCTCAAGTGCGAGGAGCTCCCGAAGAATCACAGACAATGAGGGGGGGAAGGGACCTCAGGGGATCACATCTAGTCCAACCCCCTGCTCCAAGCAGGACCAGCCCCAACTACATCAGCCCAGCCAGAAGACCTAGTTAAGCACACTTTCATCTCTGCAAAGTCCTTGGCCTGGTGTGAAAATACTGATAAAGTGGCAGAACCTTCCACTGGAGGATGTCAAAGTACTTGGCCAAGGTCAATGAAATGTCATCTGAGTCAGAGACGTGTTATAAGTGACTTGCCCAAGGTCACACGGGAAGATGGTAGCGGAGGTGGGACTAGGATACTGACCTAATTGTCAGACACGGCAATTTCATGCAGGGCCCTTCTTCCTCGCTGTGGTCTACCAAAAGCTGCTCAGCAGCTGTAGCTTACATGTAGACTCGCTAGCTCCTGTTCAGCCCAGATCCTCACGTTGGAGGATAGCGTGAGCTTCAGGAGAGCAATAGAGACCTGCCAGTTCCCCCCGCCACCCTCCAGCTTCCCATGACTTGTGCAGAATAATATAATAATACCGTATCTCCCCTGAACATTAGCACTTGGGACAAGGTCTATATATTTCTTTTTTTCCCATTCCCCACAGCATACATGAAGTATGGCAAGCTATATTTCCCTTTATCCCACTGAAAGAGATGGGGGTTATCCATAAAGACCAGATCAAGAATGTGACTGCCGAAACATGTGCAATTATAAAAGGCTATTTTCCTAAATAGAAATAAGAAAATAATATGATTCCAGATTTTGCCCTGCTAAATACTTTATTTCCGTTTTCTTCACAGAACAAAATGAATGGCAATATAAAATCATGTGGAATTTCTTAAAATAATGGCTTCAGCAGAGCATGGGGACTGCAGGAACTTATACAGTTTAATTTCTTAAACACATTTGATTTTTTGTTTCATGGAGATTGGTGATTTTCTATCATTTTGCTGAATCTGGCCATGCATGCATTCAAGAAGGCATATACCCATTTAGGCAGGAAGAGGTGGGGATAGGGGGGCAAGTAATGAATGGCAAAAATTAGCATTTAATTTTAAAAAAACCATTCTGAATGATTGCGTGTAATATAAGCCTGGTAAAAACAAGGTATTTGATTCTTGTTATGTGATTTTCTTTTTTAGTAAAACAAGTCATTCCCAGAGCTCTTGGGATTTCTGAACACAATTAAGCCACTCTACATGACACACTGTGACAGGTGTTTTGTAGAGTAAAAAGCACGTGAGCCCCGTTCCACGCTTAGAGCTAATCTTCCCCTCCCTGCCGTAATCGCCTAATGAATCTGTTGCGACTGGGTTGAACAAGGCCTGTAGGATGATGGTAACATTGACAACGATGATGGCTAAGACGCTGTGTCCAGGGGACCTCAATGAACGACTCGCTGTAGAGTCAAACCTAGTCCTTGCTCCCAAGAGTTTACAGGCCAAGTCAGGACAAGAAGCAACAAGTGGATAAAAGAAACAAATGGCGAGAGAACAAAAAGGACGAGGTGCAGGGAAGGAGCCGCTGTCAGTCTCCAGCACTCTGAGCTCACTCCCTGTCTAGCCATTGTCAGAATCAGACCCTTTGTCTTCTCTGCAAACAGGAAAGAACAAGAAAGTTCATTTGAAAAGTTTCATGTCATTTGAACTGATGTTGCTGTGATGGGAGGACTGGTCCTGAAAGGTGCCAAGTGCTAGTGCTTTCTGCGAGCTTGATGCTTCACACCTGAGCGGCTGACTGATATATCTCATAATTGGAAATTTTCAAGTTTTTAACTGAACATGGATCCTTGTAGCAAAGCCATGAATGAGGTTTTTACGTGTGCTCAGCCACAGCCTAAATTTGACTTCAGTGGCAGCAGAATCAAATCATTGTGGGCACCTCTGAGGCTCCCATCCATCATGTCCTGGTTACTTAAATGAGTTTTGGCAAGGTTCTTTGGGTAGATGAGATATCTTTTATTAGATCAACTAAAGAGTTAGAAAAAAGTTCATTGCAAGCTTTCAGCAATCAGGACTCCTGGTAGAGGTGATATCTTTTATTAGAACAACTAGATTTTTGCAAAAAAAAAAATATATATTTTTTTCTTTTCAAAAATCTAGTTGGTCTAATAAGAGATATCATCTTTACCATGAATCCTGATTGCTTTTTCCTCTAGACCAATACGGCTATGACCTGGATACCTTGCAAGCTTTCAGCCACAAACGCACACGTTTGTACCCAAAAGTTTGCAAAGAACTTTTTTCCAACTATTTAGTTGGTCCAATAAAAGATACCGCATTTACCCAAAGGACCTTGCCTGCCTGTGTCTTTAGACCAACATAGTTACAACCTACACCCCTTAAACACGTTTTGCAATTCATTTTAAAACACATTCACAATGTCTACTTGACTTGAGGCCAAGTGCTATCTTGAGCTACCCCAGAGTAGCTGCTGAGTGACTCTATGGACAGCAAAGGACCTAATATACCTGTGTAGCAGAGCACTTTCTGACTTGCGGGAGTCTTGCTTTGGAAATAATACTTGTCCCATCTGTATTTTTACAAGGAGTGTGACACCTCGTGGAGGACCAGAAAACCTGCAGGCTGCTCAGGGCTGATCAATAGATGTTTTGCTATAAGAGCAAAACGCAATGAAATATGCATATACATATGTATATATGACCTCACGAAGGACAAGAGATCTACTTTAGTGCCAGTGATGGTGCAGAATCCAGTTGTCATCAACAGGAATGATTATATCCTTAGAAAATGAAAATATCTATTTGCATATCTCCTGCCATGACATTTCTGAAGCCCTGCTCTCATATTTCCAAACTATATTAAATTTATAGTAGCTTTCCCATTCAATTTTCTTTTTGTACTGCTTGATTTTCTGTGCATGTTTGAGTATTCATCTTGATAATGCCACATGAGAAAAGAGCCCGAGAAAAATCAACACGAGAGATGTTGTTTAGAGCAAAACTAGCAAACTCTCAGTCCTGGCCACAGACACTTGGATGATTACATATTTGTGCAAACAAA